TTGAGAAACACAAAAGTTGTGAAGGGTCAAAGTTCACGAATTTTGCCAAAATGTACAGGGTTTGGTCATATTTTTGAAAAATATTAAAAATTTTCCAAGATTTATTCTAAGATTTTCCCAAATTATGGGCACACCCTGTACATTTTGGCAAAATTCGTGAACTTTGACCCTTCACAACTTTTGTGTTTCTCAACCGATTGGATTGATTAAGGGCTCAAATGAAAGATCTATTGTTCCTCTATCGGACACATACCACACTTACCGGATGTGGTCACCGGAAGTGACCGGAAAACATGTCTCGGAGATGGTCCCGAGATTTCGTAGAAAGCGTTAAAATTAAAAATTTATTTTTTGTGCCCAAAATCATCACATTATTAGGCTATTCAATAAAACAAACCGCGTTTAAAAATATTAAGCCATTCCAGAGAAATTCAAATTTTATCCAGAAACAACAATACTGTACGACCTAATATAATATAAGTTTGGTCAGCCTGTAGAAACAGTTGAATGATTGGCAATATAAAAATATACGGCAACAAAAGTACCATTTGCATCGACGTGTTAGCAATTGATATATTAATCATTAATAGTTTTGTCCGGGTTTTAATTGGAATTCCAACTTGGTAATTATATCTAATAACATTAACTATCAAAATGTTCATTATTGTTGAGACTGTTTGTAGGACTACAGTTATATATAATAAATATAAATCTGTATTAGTTAGCTTGAATACATTTTTATATAACTCGACCATTTTGTTATATTATTATAGTCTCACATACAATTAATATAAAATTATTTGTATTTATATCACAAAGTATATTTATTACATAAACTAAGAAATAGTTTGTTAATTTGTTTAATTTACATTCAAGGATAAAGATATACAAAAATTTACAATTAACGTCAGATTTTTAATTTATTTAAATTTTATTTAAATATCTTACAATAAATATTTTTATGTTATATTAAACAGTCAACTATAATTTAAAATTAACTTAAATTAATTATTATTTCAATTTGATTTATGATAAGGAATTTTAAATTAAAATTGTTTTGCATAAATTATTTATCATAAACCTTGATTATTAATGAACTTTCAATTAAAAAATAAAATCTTTAAATCAAAAACTTTTTTCAAGTATTTTAAATCATATTAAAAATTATTACCGGTATTTAAGTTTTAATATAAATGATTACTTAATCTAAAAATAATATTATTTGTAATCTAATATTTTATAATAATTCATTTAGAAATTGTTTTTAATTTAGATATACAGTACAATAAATATTTATTTTAAATATTCGTAAAATTTAAATGAATAATAATTATGAGAATTTCAATTTTTTATTAAACTAATTTAAATTTTAAATTAGAATTTACAAAAATAGAAACTTTGTTTAATTTATTTCAAATGTTTGTATTATAAATATTAGGCAAAAGACTTCGTAAATATAGCCAAAGTTGTTGTCGAAAGTGTTGACTCAACCAGAAATATATGACTGAATAAAACAAATTGCTGATCATGAATAGGTGTTTTGATTTGGTACTAACAGCACATGGCTTATTTGCATCTATAGTTATATACTTTCCGTATGCGACTAAATAAAAGCATATATTCGTTGTCAAAAACACCAGTATAATTAAACAAATTTTGCGTGCTACTTTAACCTTTTTGTCTTTGTTTAATTCAATTCTCCAAAACTTAATAATAGTCAATGACATAAAAAATACAATAATGCAGATTGGCAAAATATATAGCATATAGTAGAGTATGCTTAACTTGTCATACAAAAATGTCAGACTGGCGTTAGTTACATAACGTATGCAAACAACAGACATGTTATCCAGGTCGTAATAATAAATGTCCAAATTAAAAAGGCTGGGTAAGTGTAATATTATGCTCGATATCCATATAATACTACTCCACTTTTTAGTGGAGTAGTTATCCAAAGGATTATTAAAAACCTTTATCAATGAATAATACAAATCACATGATAGCAGGGTAATTGTGAAACAGGTCACATAAACTGTGGTTAGCATAATATATTTGGCAATTGACCTCATTATCCACATATAAAACGGGTCATTTTGTAGGGTCGGAATAATTATTAAAAATGGTAATACAAAACCTAGAACCAAAATAATACTAGCAATTGCCACGTTTAACATTAGTAGTTTTGCGCGCTTGGAAAAAGGTTGACCCTGGTTATCACTATATTTAATAACATTAATAATCAATATATTCATAAATGTTGAGACAATTTGCAATATAACACAAATGTAAAAAATAAATCTCTCATAGGAATTCATATGCACCACATATTTATATAAATCTTCCATTGATTGTGAACATATAGATAGCAAATACACAAATGATGACATATTATAAACTCGACGCTCTTAAATAACCTACAAATAAGAGGAAACTTAAATTAATTAAATGTAGAAATTATTTAAGGAATATATTTATATTTATCTAAGAGTTGAATATATTATATTTAATTACAGGTTTTACAATAGCTTTTTAATATTTCACATTTTAAGTGTCAGGTGTTTGTCTATTTTTAAAATATGATCCGCACTGTCCGATAAAAAGTGATTTTTTCAAATGAGTAAGGGTGATATTTATTTATTTTAGTTATTTAAATTCAGTCATGATGTTAAAACTTTCAAATAACATACAGCGCCATCAATGAATTTTTTAAGAAATTATTTACTAATAAATTTTTAAAATAATTTTTATTATGAATTTAGTTGTTTTGATACATCAAAATAGGGGGTGCTCTATTTATAGTTGATGTATAATTAATAATTAATTAGTAAATCACGATTAACACCATATACTTTAAATTATTTAAAACTTAAAAATAATTAACATGGGCCTGACATTGAAAGATTATTTCTAGAAATGTTTCCGGAAACTGGAGAAATATTTCTAGAAAGTTTCTCCAGATTTTTAGATTATTTCTTTTTGTACAAGTCTAAAAACTACATATAATTTAAGTAAATGCTTGAAACATTGCTAATATTAGCACAAACTAACTAAATAAATTTTGACTAAAATTATTTAGACATTTAAATCCTTTTGTTTTATCTAAATTTTTATATAATATTTCATACCATATTAGTATTCATTTGTTGTCATATTTTTTTATAAATCAAATATTAATAAAAATTTAAAAATTCTTTTTATTTTAAATACATTAATTTAGGTTTGTAGCTTTTAAATTACCTCAAGTTTATTTAACAATTTAAACATTTTTATTTTTAAACAGACATACAATTAAAAAAATGTTGCAAAAATTGGTGCCCAAAAATTAATACAATTTTGGATTACCGGTGGTTGAAATCCGTTATTACCTCGGTACTTATTCACAAATAATCTGCCTAATCGACTTGGATCTGTATTTAACTCCATATAATTAACACTAACATCACCGGCCATTAATGGTGTGTAGGGGGACCACTGGTTATTATTAATTGTGGGAACAGTACTAAAATAATAAGACAATAAAATGATAAAAATAATAATTGTCTTAAAAATATTATCAGGTTACTAATAAATACCCAGTTTTAGCAAAAGTAGTCCATATATTCATCATAATAGCACTCAAGTATCTATCATCACTATTATACCCTGATTGAAAATACGGAAACCCAAACACCAGTGGTATCTCATCCCAGTGCGTGGGGCCGTTACACCACACACTCCCATAACAGGGGGACTGACTGTTAGCGTACGACAGATAATACTGGTGCACAGTTACGTTAAAATTTGAATACTTGGCCAAATAGTACCCGAATAATACCGTCCCACATGTCAACCCGTAATCCCCAATCGCGTGCATACCAGCCCTCCGTAGTCGACTCGTATCCAACGCGTTATATACCGGTGCGAAGGTTTGGGTGTATTCTTGAGCCGCAATACTATTAAATGTCTTATTTGTCAGAATATTCTGTATATTTTTAAACACTTGTTGTCTCTCAACGTATACGAAGGGCACGGATGGGTTATACCTCCCAAACAGGGCGTACACTATGTCGATGACCATACCCAGGAATGCCCCCTCAATGGTCTGGTGTCCCAACAGCACCCGTAAGTCTCGGCGAAAGTTTCCCGTTTGTAGTAATTGATTGGGATTTTTGGGTATAATTTCATTACCAAAGCACAGATAAAATGGGAAAAAGGCGGTCAGGGCTCGTGGGGCGGCATCCGGTGTGTTGACGTTCCACAGGATACCGGCGCTCTGGCCTATGATTAGCTCAACAACCGATTTGTTTTGTAAGCATTGGATGTAGTCGTGGGTTGGCTCGCAGTTCATGAATGAGGCAAACCTATGGGCGACACGTGTGGCGTAGGAACGGGATCTCATTTGAACGTTGGACAGGCATGAGGCTAATTATTAAAGCAAAATAATAAATTATTATTAAGTGCAAAAATATATTTTAAAATTAACTTGTATGTTAATAATTTTGTTTTACATTAGATTAAACACTTGATCATTAATTCCAATTATATTATTTTAAAACAAGTTATATGTTTTAGAAACTAATAGATATAAGTTTACAGTCTAACAAAATAAAAGGTTTTATTTTTAATTTAACAGCTAATAACATTAAAGATCATAAAAATCTTAAACAAATCTCGTTATTGAAATAAACAACAAACTAAATTATCGTTTTTTAATAATATAGTGCGTAAAAAAATTAAGTCTTTGATCACATTTCCAAAAATGTGTTTTTATATAACTTAATTTAGTTTTAAACATTGAGGGTGTAAAAATAAGTATATAATTGTAAAAACTTAAATCTACTTATATTTTGTAAAACATAAATTAATTATATTAATATTTAAAACAAAATAATATAATACAATAACAAGTACCTGACTCCAATATAGCTTTACTGAAGTATCCATTGGAAACATTAGACAATATATGAGCGCTTATGGACTCACTGCCACCACTTTGACCAAAAACTGTCAGATCATTGGGATTACCACCAAATATATGAATATACTTCTTAACCCACTCCATGGCCAGCACCTGATCCCAGAGCCCCGCATTTCCGGATACATCTTGTCTATCAGTACACATAAACCCAAACACTCCTAACCTGTAATTAATCGTAACGACAACCACGTCGTGAACAGCCAGTTGTGGGCTCTCGTAGTCATTAGAGGACAGGTATGTGAGAAACCCTCCGTGAATATAAAGCATCACTGGTAGGTTGGCTGAGGTGGACAGTGTCGGGGTCCATATGTTAAGGTATAGGCAATCCTCATTGGGGTTCAATATAGTGGGCAATTGCGGGCATTTACTCGAAAATTGGGTCCCATTTATGACCCGGTGTTGTGTGTAGTCGATGGGTAGGGTTCGTCTAAATCTAAGTGCACCTACAGGTGGAGTAGCGTATGGTATAGCCTGGATATTAAAATTATATTAATTGAGAAATTATCTAGTTAAATCAAATACCTTAAATACAAATAGTGGACGTGATGTCTGGCTATTTGTGATACTTTCAGTTGAGGTTTGATTCACACAACCAATGATAACAGTGTTTTGTATTTGAACACTAATTGAACAATCAGCTTGCTACAAAATTATAAACATTAAGAATATTAAAATAAATTTTTAAATAATTAATAATCATACCTGTCTTGGAGTTTTTGGTTTATTTAAAGTTATTTTGTTAGGTTTTCTAACTGATGTAAATAAAAAATAAATTATTTTTTAAAAACATTGGAAACATACCCGGAAGTTTTCTAGATAAATTGGCACATTTAATTATTATTATTATACAAAAACAAGCAAAAATAAATCTCATTTTATGTTAAACATAGAAATTTATTGAGTTTGCATATTTTAAATTATGAAAATAATCATCACACGTATATAATTCACTGTAATGATATTTAAAAATTAATTATGATTTTCTTATTAAAAATTAACTACTTTAAATATTATGTACATTATAATAAATGTGTCAGCAAGTGTTTTAAAATTAAATAAAATTTATAAATAGATCATTTTTATTTTATTATATCATCGTAAATATACAATGTACTTAAATATGTACAGTAACTATGTAATATATACCATATAGTTAATTTTAATATTAAAACATTTAATAATTTACACTATACACCTATTTTGTGTAATTAATTTTGTTTTATAATTGGTTTAAATACAAGAGGTATTTATAATTTTTAAAACATTATAAAGATTTCACTTTTCCTATGTTTTGTTTCAAAATAATTCAAGCATTTTACTTAAAATTAATATGAAATAATAAGTTTATTATGAATAACTTTAAATTGAGTTTTGCATGAATTAATATAATGCTATTATATGTTTGATAATACTTTCACAATTCATTCCACGCGAAAGGATTATAATTGTAATCATTAGCCACTTCAATAATCTCGTATCAATGATATAAAGTTAATATTAAACCATATTGTTTACAAACTGTACATTATAATATTCGGCAAAAATATATTATTACTTTTACTCATGAATATATTAACTGGCTACAATCATGAGCTTATCTTTTAAACACTTAAATTACTATTCTTTTGATATTTTTGATACTTTAAAATTTTTCTGCTTTTAACTTATAAAATATTAAATAATGCAATTAAAATTTGCAAATTATATCTTTTTAATAATTTAAAGATATTTATTTAAAGTTTAAGGTTTCAATATTTATTTGTAGTATCAGTGAAAATGACATAAAAAATTAAAGATATTTAATTTAATACAATTAAATTGTTTTCTTTCAACTATACGACAATCAATATTT